GTACAAGGTGTTATGCGAAACGGCAGTACCGCGCGGTGTAATCTAATATCACGTACTATCATATATATATCACTCGTTGTCACGCGATTTATTAACTGACCTGCTTCAACATATAACCATACATGCATTTACTCGATGATTATAAACACAATAGTATTAAACAAAAAGTGCGATATACACATATATATGCGACACACACATTATATGCGACATACACATATATACAAAAAAAATTATTATGTAATCATAGCGATCTGCGAAAAACGTTATTGCATTATATACTTATACTAAATTTAGATTAACAACTTGTTAACATGTAACCTGCTTAACCTTACGCTACGACTAATAAACATACATTTATAATCATATATATATGATTAATGATTAATCAACTAACCAATTCACTTACCCTAATCCTTTATTCATTATATAGAAATAAGAAAACACCGTGATCATAAGAGAGGCCTAAATAAATTTAACATCATGCGAATTATATTGATACCTATAAATAACATTAACACAGAAAAATATATATATATATATCACTATTAAAATTTTAACTAAGACAATCACTTATAATATATCGAAAGAAGCCGAGTTATAACATATCATTTATTTGCATTAAATCAAGCAAGCACTCTTATACATTCAAGTATATATATATATTGCTTTGACCAAATAAATATAATATTAGAATTTAAGAGACTAGCCTATTATAATACACGAAAGAGATTAAGTAAATAGCATTGCGAGAGGAAAAGGAAAGGAACGCTTTATGTAGTGAAACGTAGAGTCACAAAGATGCCTATAATCCTTACTTAGCAAGCACACGTTATATACGCGCCAATATATACTCGGTGCTACATCCATACCTAACCCCTAACAAACATTAAAAGAATAGTACTCACATAACGTATCTTAATAGAATACAACAAAAATAAATAACGATATGCCTAAATGTTAAAGGAAATAAAAAAATAAATAAAATAAATAAAATTATAAAAAAAAAAAAGAGAACACATATATCACTA